CAATCCTTCTTTGTGGGTAATATCGAATCTTTCCAACAATATGTACATATTAATTTCATACTTATGATATATAAAAACAAACTTTTCTCCAAATATTTGTCCATCAATCCTGAAAGAAAAGCCTCAGGTTGCAATTGTATATTAATCTATAAGGTCTTCTGAATTAATATATGTATTTGAATCCAAAACTTTCTAGCTTTTTTACATGTCTGCCAAAGATAGTAAAATGTCCCTTCTCCAAAGAAATTGCTGAAGACTTCTATAAAATGTCATACATGGCTATCATCTGGAAAAGGTTTCAAAATAATTTCTAAAGCTCTGGGATTCCACAAATCCAGTCAGACACTTAATGCTAAAATGGAAACAATTTGGAACAATACTGATTTTTCCCAAGAATGGCCATCCGGTTAAAATCACTCCAACACAGTAAAAAAATTGTCCATGAAGTCATTCAGATATATATAAGCTTTTCTTGTCTTGTTGAAATCATCAGTCATAACTACAACATCAGTAACTGTAACTGAGTAAAAAAAAATTCATGAGACAGCAGTAAACCAAAAATCTTGTTCATTGATGCTTGTCTCATGTTTTCTCCTTCCCTCTGGGGAAAATAAAACAATTTAGATTTCAGATTTCTGGAGGAATGTTGTTAAATGAGTCAAGAATGGAACATTTTAAGCTACATGGATTTCGGTTTAATATTCTACATTCCACAATGAGAAACTCATACAAACTATCCAGAAAGAGTTCCTCATGGTGCATCCTGATAGCCATCACATGTTACGAAGTAGCAGCATTCACTCCCAGCCAGCTGCTGCCACCTACGGCGTCCTTGTGGTCATAGGCTAAAGTGTCCACCCCATTTTCTGCAATCCAATGCTTGCTGTCGAAGGGGGACAGCATTGCCTTTTTCAGGTGCTATCCATAGATGTGGTGACACTCAGATCGCAGCACATCCATACCATGGTGGAAAATCCTCTTGTCCAAGAGGGCTTCTTCATACTGTTCATGACAGATGTGCTTCTTTACAACGTTCTTTTTCACACCCTGGGCCACCAGCTTCCAAGATCGAGTACATCTTGGGGCACAGGCCAACATACTCAGCCTTGGGGGACCCAGCACACTCATCCTTCATCTTCCCTAAGACCATCTTGTTTGTTATGCTGTAGAGGAAGTGGTCTTCTGGGCAATCAGATGTGTCATAGAAGTCTGCCTGTGTGATCATGTCCTTATATACTGTACATCCTCTGTCTGGATCTCAAGGAGAAGGGAATCGGTAGCTGTATGAAGGAATTGGCAGCGCTCCCCATACTGAGTCTTCATCTTGTTATAGTAGAAGTCATACATGAGATACTTTGAGTGGTCAAGGATGCTCATACCCACATACCTAGGCCGGTTGAGGACTAGGCGGCTCTTGTGAACCTGGATGGCTACCATCCTGTGCAGATGTCTGCCTGTGCAGATGTCGGGCTGGCTATCAGGTGCTGCAGTTTCTCCTTCTCCTTTGTACATACTAGCTTGACATTGACTTGCTTGCAGGTTTTCTATGGTCTTTCCAAACACACTGTTGTTCATTAGCTTGTACAGGTCTTTCTCAAAGTCGCTTCTCGCTTCTTTGCGGAGGTCTGCATTCATCCTAATGTAGGGCTGCATCCAAGAGCTTTGCTTGAATTTCAAGGCCCAGTGAATTTTCTTCAGGCGCATGCCAAGGGACAGGTAAAGCTGGAGATTGCAGTAATGTAGCACATAGCGTTCCTTATTGTGGAGGGTTTTTTCAACATCAGTAGGAGCCATCCCTTTGCCAATGAGGTTGTGCTGGTACGCCGACAACCACTCTTTCTGAACCACCATGCACTCCGGGGCCAGTGGGTAGGCGTTGTGCATGTCATGGAGCTCTACAGGGTATTCTAGGTCCACCTTGAGGATGTAATCTTCTGGGCTGTCTGCTGGATGTTTGGCTATGGTTTTCTCCAAACTCTGAAAATCTTTTTCCCACTTGAAGCCGCCTATAGGAAGGGGCTGGCTCATGGCCCATCCATATAGGTTATTTTCATCAAAGTAGATGATGTAAGTATTCGGCTTGGAACAGTTATAGCCCTCTACAACCAGTGGGTTGTTGGCTCTTGCATAGCACTTGGAGACCATGGTTGTTCCACCTCTTATCCCTTTCTCAATGAATAGGTGTTGGTCACAGTCTGTGAGCAGCTCGAGCTCTACACCAGTCTTTTTTAGCAGCGCATCCCAAGAAAGGCCTGAGGTAGAATAACAGAGGGCAGGGTCTAGACCATATTTCTGCATGCAGGTCTTCCGAAAGGTCTCAAAGATGTCTGCTAGGAGGAGTACATCTGTACGCAAGTAGAGGTCGTGGTAGTCCCCTAGCGTTTGGCACCCAAAGGCATCCCAGACCTTTTGGGCATGGGTATAGTCGGCCTCCGATATGTGTTCATCTGTGAGCCTGCTGTAGAATGCTTCCTTTGGCGGGAGCTGAGACTCATTGAACCGTTCCCAAGAGTCTATGTATTCGTATGGGTAGACATCCTTATGCAGCAGGAGTTCTTGTCTATCTCTGCTGGGCTCAAACCGAAGCATAATTTGGAAGGCTTCAGGATGGTTAGCTGAAACAAGTTTGTCAAGGGAGGCCAGCACAAACTGGGCACTGTCAATGAACCAAAGTTGCCCTAGAGAGAAGATGTACTTCTCCCCTTTTTGAAATGCAGGTGATCTTACCCTCCACCTTTGAGATAGCCTGCATCAAGAGGTGGGAGTCATAGTATCTCAGGTTGTGGAAGACAACTGGAATTGAGGGTTTGTGTTTCAGCCTCAGCTTAAGTTTATAGATTTTGTTGGCAGCATCTCAGTATTGCCCTGTGATGTGGCAATGGTAGCGGACAAAATCTCCATCAAGTGGCTTCTGACACACATGGCAGCTAGTGATTGTTTTGTGAGCCCACCGGTTGTCTTGGGTCATCCTTATGCTCCGGGGGTTGGCCAGCACCATGTTGATTTTGCTTACTTCTTTTTGGAGAGATTTTAGAAAGTCCTCTGCTGCATTTGGCCCTCTGATTACAACCGGTGGTTGAATCTGACCATCACAGTGCACAACTATAGCCACAGGCCTTCTGCTCTTGTATTTTCTGAATGTTACCCTTTGTAGTGTCCAGTTTAGAGTCCTTGATCTTTGTGGTGAGGGCCTCAGAGTCTGCATATATGAGATATGGGACTGGGAGCTCTTTGTAGCAGTTCTTGAAGAAAAGCTTATTTTTACCTTTTCCTGGCATCACCTCTTTCCTGCCATCTGCCCAATCCCACAGCAATCAGGCTTGTGGGTTTCAGCAGGTCTTCTCTGGTGTAGCTGTGGAAGCGGCGCTCACAATGTTTGCGCTCTTGATGCTTACTTTGATCATGCAGCAATCTGTTGAGATCTTTCACCCATGTGTAGTGGAACTTATCATCCTTCTCAATCAGCAAAAGGTTGATCCTGGGTAGGTTTTCTGGCTGATGGCTAAGCCGGTGAATGATGATGCCCTTGTCCCAGCCCAAGACATTGATGACTAAATTGTTCTGTTTTTCTACTCTCTGGATCTGGGAGATGGGTTTGGAGGCTTCAATCCCAGTGAAATCAAGGCTGTCCTGAGTGGGGTATTTGGAGGTTCTGTCCATGTGGTCATTTGCAGGGAACAGAGCAGAGTGCCCACCTCAGTGGTCATCTTTGTTTTTCACGTTTATGACCGCCTTTTTGTTTCTCACCACAGATGGTAGTGGGATATAGGAGCCACTTCGGAAGGGTTGGTACCGGGCAATGTTCAGCCAGAGAGTCTGCATTCTTTCAACCACCCAACCGGAGCCTCTCTGGGTCCATTTCTCAAGTGTCTCCTGAATAATGGGGAATGCCTTGTATAGTGCCATGCTGATCTCGTGGTTCTGCAAGACAGCTTCCTGTTTGTGACGAAGCGTAGCATCTATGCACTCTTCACTGTCTTTTCAGAGATCAACCTTTAGCACCAGCTGGAATTTGACACCTCTGAGAGCCCGAATCTCTTCTGTGAGCTTCTGGCAGATCTGGGGGTGCACACCCTCTAAGAAAGCCCTTGCGTCTGCACTCTGGGGATGACCTTGAGGTACATCTATCTGCCAACCCCACAGATAGTTCCCTATTGCCTTTGATGTCTGCCTGAAGACAAGCTTGCCTGTCTTTTTGTTTTGTTCTGGATCAAACAAGTCTAGGATCTCCTTCTGAGAGTCCTGAGTCGTTCAAAAAGTTTTGGAGAGGGGATGTGGGTCAGATTCGTCCACAATGGCCTTCCTTTTTCTCACCTTGCCTTCATGAGGTGGAGGGGAAGATTCATCTTTCCCTGGCAGTAAAGGCTTTAGCAGATACTTATTTGATGCTTCAGTGATTGGTTCATCCAGGATGTTGTGAGCAACCCTCTGGGCTGGCTCAGGTGTTTGTATTTCAGCTGCTAACTGGTCAATGTATTCATCCATACAAGCCATGTTGCTGGATGGGTAAACAGTATACACGGCTATTCTCTAAATGAGACTTCGAATTGCAAGGAGCTCTGCCAACACTTGTTGATTTTTAGCCTTTCTTTCCAAGTGTCTATGACGGCCTTATCTCTCCTACAGCCTTGACGAAGCTGTATGACATTCTGAAGTCTCTTTCCGCAAGAGCTACAGGGTACAGGAATTCGACCATATTTACGGATCTTTGCCAGGCTCTATAAGCTGAGCCTCTTTTACATTTAGACCAAATATTCAATGCAAGAAAGGGAGAAACATGCTCTTCCTTAAATGCCGCCAGAAACCACGCCGCTTCCGATAAGCTGTGAAGCGATTTACAGCCCTCCGCTTCAATGCCCCGGAAGTGTTAACTCAAACACCACCTCCTCAACTCGGAAGTGATGTTTTGCTCCCTTTTCCGGTGAGGAGGAGGTTGCCGTTGCCGCCACTTGGGCCAGAGGCTGGGGGGTCTGTCTTCGGGGGCCGGGAGGGGCAGATGAATGGGCAGCGGGCGGGAGAATATGAGTGGCTTTCCTCGACAAGGAGGACTTCCGGGATTAAATCACTCGGAAGCGGAAGAAAAGGGCTGCCTGCTGTCCGCCTGGCTCTCCGGGGGAGCGGCGGCGGGTGGCGGAGGTGGAGGCGGAGGTTCCGGGGCTGTCCCATCGCAACTGGTGGCCCGTGCGCCGCTGGACTCCGCGTCATCTCGACCACTATTCCCCGCGTCAGCCCGGGCGAGCCGGAGAGCGAGGGGCCGCGGGCGGGGTCAGTGCCAGCGAAAGGGCGCGAAGGGAGCTGGGGGTGCGGATGTGGGCGAGGGGTCCTGGGGTTGGGGGCTCTGGTTTTCCTCTGGCTCCTCACCGATGGCTTCGATCTCTGGTGCCTCGAAGGCGGGAGGGAAATTGATCATGACTTGGGACCGACTGGAGGAAAGTTGTTCTTCGTAGCGTGCATCGTGATCCTCTGCAGACAAAATAAAGCCTATCATTGGCTGTTGACAGTTTTAGTTTTTATGGAGACCCTGGGGGTTCAAAGCCTGCATTCCTCTGAATAACGTTGCCAAAGGAAAAGGGAGGATCGGTGGCTCCCTAACTTGCTTGTGGGCTTCCCTGGAGCATGGGGGTCGGGCTTTGTACACTCATGGCTTGATCTAACATAACGTATTTCAGAACGGTATAGATCTAATTTCCTCAGCTATATTTTCTGTAGATGGTTTCTTTAGATTCTCCCCCATATATGCACACATTTAATTATACTTGATTTCAGAATGTGATAGACATTTAGGCCTGTGCTTGGGATACTTAAATGATCTTGTTTGACATTTGTCTTTGAAGTCTAGTTCCTCGAAACAGGTGCATGTCCACAAGATGAGATTGGGAGAAAGATGGAGATGTAATACAGATTTCCAGGAAAGAAATAGTCTAGCACTACAATTGTAGAATTCATCGATTGTTCATTTTTGAATAGTTATAGCAGGCTTTTGGTATGTTTCATCTACAATTTTAGCATTTTTAGGCTGAAAACTGCCTTTAAAGAACAGCACGGTTTTTCTGTGGGATGTTTGAGAGTGTAGGAATGGGTTGCTAACTAGTTGTGATCTGCTAATATAAGTGTTAGATAACATAATACATGCCTTGAATATTTCAAAGTTCAGCCTAAAACATGTTTATTAAATTTTGGCCATTTTAATGAAACCAAGAATATTTGTTTTTTAATTGCTCCTTAGTTATCCTTCAGCACAACAGAAACTAAATCCATTGTGAGCTCTATCAGAAGTTGGAGGCTACTGAAATTTGAATAAGTAATTTAAGTGGCATGTTCCTGGTATGTCTTGTGTCATGCTATGTAAACTTTGTAAAAGCTGTGTGATCAGGAGTTTTCAAGCCATAGATCTTGCTTTTCTACTATCAAGTTTTTAGATCAAAGATTATTTCACAATTGTGTAGCACTGAGAGTTTCTTTTAACTTGTTCGATTAAAAATATAGCAGTCTGAGATTTTGCAAAGTGAAGGGAATAGGGACTACATTACATCACTCATCATAATTTTAGAAGCTGTGTATAGTATTCTATTGGCAGGTGAGTGCAGAAATACAGGAATCTGAACCAGGACTTTTTGCCACAACTGGAGATAGTGTCCAGAATTAGGATATGGTTATTTGTGGCTGATTGAGTATGAAATCCAATAGTGCAACTTCCTCAACAGAATTAGAAAGATAGTTCCACCTCTCCTACATAATTTGTAAAATGTTTTCTGAAGGATTAAAAAATTACCTGGGAATGCAGTTTTCAGCATATAATTTGTGTCCCTCATTGTATGCCAGAGAATTAAACAAGATCGGTTCTTGCAAACTCCCAGTATTTGGTACATTGGTAGATTCACAACATTGAGGTGCAATGTCCTTTGCCAGTTCTTTGTGTTAAAATGGAGAGTCAGTCATTTCTAGTGATTGCAAACATCTTGCTGCTATGTTTTGTTTGCCGTCTTATCAATATTTTTGAAAGATACTGAGAAATTGGAATATTTATATATTCATACCATGTCTTTTCATGAAAATTGTAACTATGTGAAGCATGATTTCCTTTAGATGATGCTTGGGAAATTTGAGAGATATTTTAATGTTTAAAACATCAGAACATGCTAGTAAATTTGTTTACAATGAACAAAGTCTCAGAACCAGAACTGGTATTGTGGAGGAATCAAGATGGTTCTCAGTACCATATAGATATTGCATAGTTTGACAACCAGCTTTGTATCTTTATGTCTCCCAGCTAGAATGGAAGAATCTCACTTCAACTCCTCACCGTATTTCTGGCCAGCAGTGCCCACAGTCTCGGGACAGGTAAGCAATATCGGATATGTAAATTGCTTTTTATGAAGTTCGGCCCGTGACTGTTCTGAAACTTTTCCACTTTCTCTTTAGATTGACAACAGCATGTTCATTAACAAGATGAAGGAGCAGTTGTTGCCCTCAGAAAAGAGCTGTGGTCTGGCTCCTCCACACTATCCTACTTTACTGACTGTACCCACTTCTGTGGCTCTTCCCACCAACATTTCTATGGATTCTGACACCAAGCCAGAACATCTTACCCCAGTCAGCCAGACGTCAGTAACACAGAACATCACAGTGGTACCAGTGCAGTCTACTGGGCTCATGACAACAGGTGGGGTAATTTAGATGGCTTAGTTGCTAACTCAATGTTTTAGGTTGTCCTTGAGAAAAGAATATAGTTAAGCTTTTCTTAGACATTGGAAAAAGGGCATTCTGATTAAATGTGTAATGTGACCTAAATATTGCTGTATCATAAAATATGTGTCTTCAGTTTTCCATCTAGATAACAGCCGATCTAGTCTAGGAAGTAGAATCACACTTGCCTGGGTGTGTGGCTTTAGTGAAGCTTGCATTCATACCTTTTTTTTTCCTCCTCTGAATTTTTTTGCAGCAACAGAGAGAGGTAGATCCAGGGTTTTAGGATGAAGCTCGTGCGTGAGCATTTAAATTTGAGCGCTGCAGGCCTAGCCCAGTAGCAATTATACATAATTATATTAATATGGTTTCCTTTCTTTGACACGCTGAAAGGTGGATTAGGACTTATAGGATTTGAAACGATCCTTCTGTTTTCTCTCATACAGGACCTGGTCTGGTGATAACTTCTCCCTCTGGATCTCTGATGACCACAGCGTCTTCTGTGCAAACCTTTCCCATTTCTGCACCCATGATTGTCTCAGCTCTTCCTCCTGGTTCCCAGGCAGCTCTCCAAGTAGTACCTGACCTTTCTAAGAAGGGCATCCTTGCAGAGGGTGGGGCAGTGAGTGCTGCTGGCAGTATCATCCCTAAGGCTCCCAGGGGAAGAAAAAAGAAGCGGCTGCAGGAAACTGGCCTGCCGGAGATGAGTGATCCTTTTGTGCTACCCCATGAAGATGAAGAAGACCAGCACAAGGATGGCAAGACATACAGGTGAGATTGCGGGGATTTGAAATCCTGCATTTTATTTATTTGACAGTTTTTATAGCCTACCCAACTCAAAAGGCTCTGGGCAGATTTCACAAGAATGCATATGAACAAGTAGTATTTCATTTGAATTACAGGGGAACTGTCTTCTTCCATGATGTGGCATTCTAGTTCATTGCGCTTCTGGTTTACTTGTGATTTAGGTAAGAGGGAAGTATGCAATAGAACCTAGCAGGGTTATACTGAACAATAACTTGTCACTGGCTGGCTTTTATAATGTAGTTGATTTTGTAAGTTGATCTTTAAATTAACATAATGTTATATGCAACTGCATGCCAGAACAACCTATGTGAATTTAGTCTGTCCCTCATGACTCCATTATGTGAGTTACAGTTTTACTCTTTCTGGCAGTAGTAAACTTTGTATAGCCGTCGAAGTTTATTTCATGATTTATCCACTCTTTTCCACCTGAAATACCTGAACAAAGTACTTATGTCTGGTTCTGGTATTGCTAGTGAATACATTAAACTCTTGAGGCGCTAGTGAAAATTATCAAGGGCTATGATCATATTATGGTATCTAATTTTGTCTGACAAAACTGTAGTAGACTGGATGGTTGTGTTGTCCTTGTTTGGGGATTGATAAAGTATTTTAATGTAATAGCATAGTTGGATTGCTTGTATGAATGCAATAATATTCTTCTGAAGAATATATCTCCAAGATAATTTGTACTATGGATATTGCTGAACGGACTGGGCTTGGGAAGAGGCACTATGGTCCCACAAACCAAAAATCCTACTTTTAGCATGTAGCACAGTAGGCTGTGTTTGAAATTAATGTCTTTTTGGAGGAAGCTTATTTATTTGTCAGTGTGGGAATATTGCACTTGTGATACTGAGTGTTTCCAAATATATTAATTTGCCTTGCCCTGTTTCTCTTACAATTGTCTTTAAAGCGACATTTGTACTTGTAGCATCCTTGTTAATGAGAAATGCACTTTGTACATAGAATTTGTGTTGGTGACCATAAGGAAAATTGATTTATTGATTTGCGCATTTATAAGTTGATGTATATTTTTTCACATATAGTGGAATACTGGAAATACCGTTTATATGAATTTTATGTCATGTCAGATGGCAGCATCTAATAAATATCAACTGATATTGGAAAAGCTAAGCAGAGATAGATTTGCCTAGTAATTGGATGAGAGGCCATCAAGAAATTACAGGAGTCTTACACAGTTTTAACGATATCATTTGGCTTAATATCTGTATTTTTCGGGAATGAGAGATATTATGATTATTTTCTTCTCTGGGGTCATTTAGAAAGCAAATATGGAATGCCTTTCAAATCATGGCAAATGTTAAGATCTAGGTATATTAAACCAAGATCTTTCTTAGTTTGAAAGCTGCTAGTCATATTTGCTTAATAGCAGGTAAGCAGTTTGATTCTGAATAACGTGAAAAGCTGACAATGTGGTATAAGTCAAATTTGAAAATAGCAGGAATGAAGTTCTATTGGAATATTTGGGCTGAAAGAGGAATTTGCATAGCTGATTTTAATGGTAGTTTTACAGAATTTGAGAGATAGTTTTTTTAATTTGTCTTCAACATAGCTCAGCAATACAGTAAAGACGTAACAACTATTTGTTTAGCAACTCTTACAATACCAATGAAAAAAGTGACTCGCTACTAGTCCTCACACTTAGGACCATTGCGGTGCCTCTACAGTTGTATGATCAGAATTCAGGCCCTTGGCCACTAGCATGGTTTTATTATGATTGCAGCGTCCCGTGGTCAAGTGATCATCTTTTGCAACCTCCCAGCCAACTTCTGACGAGCAAACTCGAGGGGGAAGATGGATTTGCTTAATGATCACATAATCCACTTAACATCTGCAGTGATTCGCTTAACAACCATGACACAACTAGCTTAACAAGGGCTCAACTAGCTTAACAAGGCCTTACTTAGCAATGGAGGTTCCGGTCCCAATTGTGGTCGTAAGTCGAGGACTGCTTGTACATACAACTGAAACATATATTAAATGAGCCATATATAACCCAGATGCTTTAGCTATCTGAGATGCCTGCATCTATTGTACTCTTAAGAAATACTGTGCTTGAATTGAAACCAATAATTCAGTGTTACAACACATTAAAAGTAAAATAAAAGTTAGCATTTGCTATATATTTGATCTGTGAGGGGAAGAATTGGAATATCCAATTTTGAAAAATCAATGAGTCCAGGCTTTAAAAAATGTGAAATATACACTATAAATTTAAAAAATGAAACTAGTTCATCAGAGAATATTACTTCATGTATTTTGCACTCCTTAAAGCAGACATGTCAAACACAAGGCCCGGGGGCCAGATGCGGCCCGCAAAGTGGTTTCATGTGGCCCGCGAAGCCATCCTGGAAACAGTGAGGGAATGGCCCCCGCTGCCTTGGCCCTGGCCCAAGCCAGCCGGGAATCAATGTACAATTTTATGGTGGCCATCTATGCTGAAACACATTCAGTCTTAGCTCCATAAGCCCCCCCCCCATGGCCTGAGAGGAACAGTGAGGCTCCTCCAGTGGACCATGCCTTGGCACTTGCCCTGGTCCCACCCCCTTCTGCCAGAGACCCTCAGATCTATCCCACTCCTGCCCAGTCCCCCACAGGCACCATTGACGCGAACGATGTAGAACTGGCCACGCCCACCCAGTAGGCCTCACCCACTCCAATCAAACCCACCAAGTAGGCCGCACCCACCCTGGCCACACCCACCCGGCCCCCTGAGGGCAACCGCAATACTGATGCGGCCCTCAATGAAATTGAGTTTGACACCCCTGCCTTAAAGTCTATTTGAAAAGAGATGAATTTTAATGTTTTTTTAACTCATATGGTTGGGTCTTGTTTTGTTATAGCTTTGTTCTTTCAAATTTTAAATTTATATGTTAATATAATTTTGGGAAAAATATTTAAGGAATATAATTAAATGGTATCCCAAAATATGGATAAAAAGGAGAAAAATGTCTTGAAGGTTACTATAGCCTATGTGGAAGAGCAGATTTAGAAGTGTCATGAAAGACTCATAATCTGCAAAGCAGAAACCCAAGAAAATGGTTATTGGTCAAAGAAAAGCATTTATGAGAAAAAATGGTCATACAGTAAGTACCCCAAAAAGGACAAATAGTCAGGGTCTGAAGTGTTACAACCCTACAGAGGAATAGAATGATTAGATTCCCAATAAGGCTATGTATTTTAAAAACTATATTATAAGTGTTTTGTCAGTTTTCATGTATATCATAATAGTATTTTTGCCCAAATGTTCTATGGAAACCGTTAGGGACAGGGATAAATTTTCTTTACAGTGTAAGTAAAATATTTCTTTTTCAAAATCTTTTCATACTAGGTAAAGTCTTTGCCAATTAAAAAAAAAAAAACAACCTTGAAGATTCCTTCACATTTTTCTTTAACTATATCTTCTGTACTAAACTTTGATTGCAAAAATCTTATTTTCTGTTTGATAGAGTTCATAAATACCCCAGAACCTCAGCATTTATATAATATACTGGCAGTTTAAATAACCAATATAGTTTTCAGGTGTAAAGTTCTTTTTGCTTCCTTCATTGGCACTTCTGTGCCATTCAGAAGGGCGCATCAGATCCAAAAAGAGTGGAGTATACAACAAGGAGCCAGTGGCAACAGGCTCAGCAGTTTTGGCTTGTTTAGATTACAGTATGATGTGCAAGACTATAGCTGCCAAAATTCCTATAGACTTTTAGGTGTAATAATTAATGAACCCAAAGAATGACTCAATTGAGGTTAAGTCATTGACTGGGAATTCATTGAAACTCTTGAAATAGTCCCCACAGGAAACAATTCTATGTGTCTGAGTTATAATGCTGGCAGCTCCTGTTCGCCACCTCTCATACTTTCTAGGTTATTGCTGTTTTCTGTACAAGCTTTATGTTGATGGGGAAGATGAAGGGGTAATTTCTGGTCCCAACCATACATTACATAGCTAGATCATCTGGGGTTATAAGTGTCAATTTCCTTCTATTGATATCATAGCTCAATTTTTTTAAGAAATTAGATTTAACTACTCAACTGATTAAATCTGGACTCTCGTTCTCATATTAGATCTGGTGAAATCATTTGAAATTAGTGGTCCCTGTTATATTAGATTCCTTTTAGCTTATGTAGCTGAAAAGATGTGGACAAAATGTCTTGAAAATAAGATCTAAAGTCTGTTTTATGTAGACAAATCAGCCACGGTGACGCTTGGTGTAGGTAATTTGTGGGATGGCTTTTGGGTATTTAAAGAGTGAATTTCATTTTTTTTTATCTCCAAGGTTTAGGCATCCATTTTAAAAATTCCCTGATCTCTCCCCCCCCCCCAAAAAAAATGAAAAAGTGTCCACATTTTTAGCCCTGTCTTTTATGGATATGTGTGTGTTAATAGGCTTTGAGTTGGCCTTCAGAAGACTTTTTTGCCTTCTTGGTCTATAGCAGGGGTGTCAAACTGCTAGCCCACGGGCCGGATGCGTCGTGGTGAAACCGCGCCCACCCCATTGCCGGCAATGGAAAAAAAGTTGTGATACGTCGCAACACGTCACGTGAGGTTGTGAGTTTGACAACCCTGGTCTATAGTGTTAGACTATTATATTCCCTTTTGCTGCTTATTAATTTATATAGAACTGTTATGGGAGGCTATCCATAACTTTGGAACAAGGTGACTTCAACAAGTCTAGGCTGATATTTAGCCTATTTAAACTAAAATTTACTCCTGAAAGAATGGCTTCTTGGTCAGGGAAGGTTCCCTAGACTCCCTGCCATCTTTGAGGAAGTGGAAATGGCAGCTAGTATGTTTTCATAAGCAAAAGTATGCCAGATATGTCTGTTCTTAATCCAATCAGATCTGCCAGTGATTACCCATACCTACCTTTGTTACATCACGATTTTATTACTGCAGCATGTTTTATGTAGTGCTTCAGGCAGAGCAAAAGGCAGCACCCGCTGGATACATAGTACTGTGTATTTGCCTGTGTTGAAAAGTCTGTTCTGGTTGCCAATTGTGTTTTCAGCTAAATTCCAAATAGTTAACTATCTTTAAAGCTCTAAGCAGGGAACTACTTATCTCAATATAAATCTGTGTACTAAACTTGACATAGGAGTCTCTCCTAGATTCCAGACATGTGAGAGGGTTTTTTCTCCTTATCTTATGGAATGCAGGGGATTATATTTATCCTTACGCTGGCCATTTTTAGTCCACGAATCAAGACATTTCCCTGCAATTTGGTCTTTTTAAGTTGGGGTAATTATGACTTTTAATTGCTTTATGTTCAGAATATTCTTTCTAGAATCTGGAGCACCACAGCAAGGTGAGATTAACAAGAGCACAACTGATTAGTGGAGAGATTCTACTATACCAAACTTTAATTTAGAAATCAGGGTATTGAGTGCAATTATACCTCTTTGTTGAGAATATTTGCTTTATTGGGAATATGTTTGTTCTTATTTTACATATGCTCTAAAGAAGCTTAGAATGCATTTGTGAAAGATAGTTCCACTGCTGCAGAAGTTGAGGCTTATCAGAAAGTTGTAAGTTGTTGCATTGTATTGGGCTATATAATATTCTGCTACTATTACCAAATATATTTGCACATAAGCTATGTATTTTAGGTACAAAAATACCCCCCCCCAAATTGGCAAATAAGATAACTTTAATTGTCATTTTTTTTTACTGTGGGCACACTGGCACACATTAAAAATGAAATTCTGTTGCCTGCTTATCTATAAGCTTATCTATGATTATCCATAAAAAGTATATATATACATACATACATACATACATACATACATACATACATACATACATACAATAAATATTGACAGATAAGCCAGCCCTCAGATTTTCAAAAATACCATGAAAAATGTGGCACTATTGGATAAGCTAATAATGAAAATTAAAACATAACAACATTTTTGAAAGTTGGCTTATCCATGAGTAGCACATTTTTCATGATACTTTGGTTAAAAATATAAGGATCATATTTTTATTACTTATGTATTTATTAGGACCTGAGGGTAGAACAAGAAGCAACGGGTAGAAGCTTGTTAAAGAGATATCCTACCTGAAACATAAATTTCTTGACAGAACAATTAGCCAATGGAACAGCTTGCCTCCTGGAGTTGCGGGAGTTCCATCACTGGAGGCTTTCAAGAAAAGATTGGACATTTGTCTGGGATGGTAGAAGGACTCCCTCTCCAAAGTCCCTTTATAGCTTTATAATTCTATGATCCTGTGCAAGGTTTTCATGAGTTTTTATGTTACCATTTATTTGGGCTGTCTGGTCTTAGAAACACCTTGTATATACTATAATGACTGAAAAGAATTGAACATAATAGAAAGGTTTAAAAACCTAATTAAAGTAAATATATGCATTTTTCATCTAGTACAGACATGTCAAACTCGCAACATCATGTGACATTGCGCGATGTATCAGGACTGTTTTGCCATTGCCGGCAATGGGGTGGGCGCAGCTTCCGGCCCCAGGCCGGCAGTTTGACACCCCTGATCTAGTAATTTAGTATTGTATAATATTAATTCAGTCAGAATAACGAAATAACAGAGTTGGAAGGGACCTTGGAGGTCTTCTAGTCCAACCTCTGCTCAAGCAAGAGACCCTATACCATTCCAGACAAATGGTTATCCAGTCTCTTCTTAAAAACCTCCAGTGTTGAAACACTTACAACTTCTGCAGGCAAGTCATTACACTGATTAATTGTTCTAACTGTCAGGAAATTTTTCCTTAATTTTAGATTGGTTCTCTCCTTGATTAGTTTCCATCCATTGTTTCTTGTCCTGCCTTCAAATACTTTGGAGAATAGGTTGACCCCCTCTTTGTGGCAGCCCCTTAGGTATTGGAACACTGCTGTCATGTCAATGGTAAGTCCTTAAACTTACCATTAAATCTAAATCTAGAAACGTATTTCTTCATCTTCTCATTTTTAGAATATGAAGTTTTTTTCAAATTAGATAACAGATTCATTTCCCAAATTTATTCCTTCAAATCACAAGAATGTATGTTTCTATTTATGAATGATTATTCTCTTTGCTGAACCACAGGCTCAGTGGATTACAGCTCTTCATCAAATGAAAAAATCCATATTTTAAAAGTATGATTTTCCATCTCATTTATGCCTTTATTATATATCTTTCCAAATTTGTATTAATATATAGTTTTATTTGAAGTTATGGCTTGACAAAACCAAAGCACATAAGTTAAGGAGCCCTCAATTTTTTTATAGTGCCAGAACAAAAAATATCTGATGCCCAACATTTTTTTACATTGTTTATTAATTCCACTATAACGTTTTATATATATATATAAAACTATACACACACACACATTAATTTTATTGGTGCATATATATATAGAGAGAGAATCGAAGAGTATATACTGTATATAATACACATTTCTGATGGATTAACTTCATTCTTAAATCCTAAAAAGTAAACTTTATATTTTTAAAAGCCTGGACTCATTGATTTTCTAAGATTGGCTATTTTATTCATTCAGAGTTCAGACATACTGAATAACTAATATTTATTCTATTTTTCAATGAATAGTTGATTGCACTTCAAGCACTGCATCCAGGTATTCCTGAGGTGTGGCCTTCAGTGTTGTCAACCATATTTGTATTGGCTTCTGTCAGTTCTGCCTGCTGAATGGGTCTTAGCCAGAAACTGAATGAGAAAACGGGAGAAGGATTTTCATTCATTAGTTTACGTCAAGGACTGGGGACTCTAAGATAAAATGTTACTCTTGCATGAGTCATGATTCCCTGCATGAGAGGAAAACTATTAAACTCTAGTTTTCTGTTTTTAAACACTTTGTTTCTACTGGTAATTACTTAGGAAATACCACAATTTTTATATAAAAAACTTTATCATGACTCCTGCTATCTGGGTTATCTTCTTCTAACTGTGATAGGGATGTTTTACTCAAGTATAGCTTCTCTCCTTTTCTATAAGCCTGAGGAGAATATAAACTTGAAAGTTACCAACATACAGTAACATGCCATCTATCCTTCCATCCATCCATCCATCCAATATGAATACTTTCTAACACTTTCAGACCCTAAAGCATTAAAAAAAATAAAATATTTATGTCCTCCATTGTATAATTGAAATGTAATCTATGATTTGCAACATGTACGTCTTGAAATGATGTTATGGCTTTATTTGTATTAGAAATCTCTAAAACAAATATTTACAATCTGAAATGTCCGCACTGTTTAGAAGCGGATAGGAGCATTTTGAAATGTTAGTGTGTTGGCTCGGGATTAACAAATTGTAGTACAAAACATCCTTCTCAACATCAAGTTGAGAAAGAATCTTTTAAGTTTCAAATTCCATGGTGATTAAAAAATGAGCACAAAAATACTTTTAATTGGCTATGTCTTTCCTGGTACTTGTTCTAGTTTCTTTAGTTTAAAGGAAGATCAACTGCTCCCAGCCTGATAGTCTCCAGATGTGTGCTGAGCTACCGTAGTACTTTTACTATTCCCAGGCAGCCTAAACTAAGGAAGGCCTTCCTGAAAAAGCTGAATCTGAATCAGTTTTATTCCTTTACCTCTTAACAGAATTGGTCAGGACTGGATGGGGGCAGCCTTCTTTCAAGTGATAGAATCTTTCTGATCAGTTGTGGAGGATCCTAGGGATATAGATATTGGGCTGTCCGTGAGTGACTCTGTCTCTTTCCCCCTCAACCTGGTCTCAGGTGCCGGATGTGTTCCCTGACATTTTACTCCAAGTCAGAAATGCAGATCCACTCCAAGTCCCACACCGAGGCAAAGCCACACAAGTGCCCTCACTGCTCCAAGAGTTTTGCGAACAGCTCCTACCTGGCCCAACATATACGCATCCATTCAGGAGCTAAGCCCTACACCTGCAGCTACTGCCAGAAAGCCTTCCGCCAACTCTCACATCTACAGCAGCACACACGGTAAGGTCCAGTGAGACTGGGGAGACATCCATGATGCATGCTGTCAACATCGTAGCATGAGGCAAGTGCCCATGGGGAGACTGCTCAGAGCATCTCGGCCATTTCCTGCCAGTTGGTCCATGCTTATTTTGTGCAGAGAGCAGAGGGGCCTCTTAATGTATGCTATCTGCTCCTTTGCCAAAGAACAGTCTGAGAAAATGGAGAGGCTTATTGGGTCGTCAGAGACAGGAGTTCTTATGATGTCTGGGAGACTGAAATCTGTAGGTGCAGGACTGACAGCCTCCCCACTTCACATCACAAAAACACTTGCTGAGCAGCTTCTTCACCTTGCTTCCCCAGCCTGGGATTTCTCATACACACACTCCCACCACTCCCAACTCCTCTCTCTGGCCTCCGGGTCTTGCATTCCCTTTTGTGGAGTTCAGGGCAAGTATCCCACTTGGTTTTCCTCCACTGTAGTGAGACAGCATGGTACCATTCCTCATGTTGTCATTGCTAGCCTGCTGGCGGTCATGTCCAACTGCTGCCCCTGCTCCTCCTCTTCGGCAGGATCCACTCCAAGCTCCACACGGCGGTTGTCAAGCCACACAAGTGCCCTCACTGCTCCAAGAGCTTCGCCAACACGTCCTACCTGGCCCAGCACCTCCGCATCCATTCGGGGGTCAAACCCTACACGTGCCGTTACTGCCAGAAGGCGTTCCGCCAGCTCTCCCACCTACAGCAGCACACACGGTAAGGGCCAAGGAGGCTGGGGGCCCAGCCTGGCCCCCCGTGCCGTCAGCATGCACTATTTTGGAGCACACACGCCAAGCATGCAAGGAGGGAGGGGGAGATGAAGCCAGCCCTGTCAATTGGAAAGATGTGGCCCGCCAGAGAGGAAGGAGTGGGGGCTGCAGAGGAGACACTGACCATGCCAGGGTAGGATGTATTGGCCCAGGGAAACCCTCTTTCACTAGCGGGTCTCAGAGAGAGAGAGAGAGAGAGAGAGAGAGAGAGAGAGAGAGAGAGAGAGAGAGGCAGGCATGCACTAGAAGGGCATGAAGCTACAGGGAATAAAGAAGTGGCACTGTACCTGTGGAATGTATGACAATGTTCCTTGATACTTTAGAGGATAAATATATGATTTCCTTAGTTATTTTGGCAGGCATTGCAAATGTGCGTGAGCAAGTACATCCTTTGGCATGGTGGAGGGCAGAATTAAGAGAAGCAACTTCAGTTTGGACTGAGATCCTGTTCTCCAGTCCTTTGCCCTGGTACTGCCACAGGTGGCTGGAGTAACTGAAAGTTTGCCTCTTGCCTGTGAGCTGCTTGTCCCTCTCCTTTTGTTGCTGCATGCTCTTGCGGGCTTTCCTTCTGAGCTTAGTTAGCTAAGCTGGACTGGGAAGGAGGTGGCATGTGGCTTGATCAAGGAAACCAGGAAATAAGTTGGTGAAGGGCGGTGCGTCTCTTGCTTGCCTAGCTCAGCTGGAGGGCATCTTCAGAACATCTGGGAGTGGGTTTCTGTACTGACTTTTCTCCTGCTAATCTTGTCTCTCTATCCTTTTTGCAATAGGATTCATACTGGAGATCGACCCTATAAATGTGCTCACCCTGGCTGTGAAAAAGCTTTCACGCAACTTTCAAATTTGCAGGTAAGGCTTTAAGCTTCCTCTAGGTTAGTCTCTAAAAGAATTGACCCAAATATCCAACAACTTCGGATTGTGGTTGGAAAGCATTGGGGAGTCCTCCATCCTTTCCCTGCCAGCATTCTATTTTTAATCCAGGCTGAACATCTGTGCAATTATTCATAAACTGGAAACCACATTTTAAGGATGTTGTACTTAATTCCTTTTTATTTCATTGGAATCAGTGTTGAATTACTAGTAATCACCATCCAATCCGTAGTTGTTATTAGTAAAGGTAAAAAAATTGCTCACTAGACATTGTAGACTGTTTAAATACGATCCTAATCAGTGGGTAGCTTTGAATCAAAGTAAGCAAAAGAAAGTTGACATTTATATATAGGGAGGAAAGTTTGTTTGTTTGTTTGTTTGTTACAATGTGTCATTTGATTTTGTTTTTAACTTTTGTAATCATACAGTTTATATCAACAGTTACTGTTAAGAAAATCTAACATTATGTGACCAGTAGCCTGATACTATGACAAACCTAAATAGTTTTGAAGAACAATAAATGTGATCCTGAGAATCTGTTTTTATTGGGTTAAGAGGAGACTGGTGATTCAAAGGAACTACTTTATCAAATGTCACAGATAAAGAATCCAACCTTGCTAAGGCCCTTGTTCAAAAATTACCAGAGGATGTTATTCCTACAACCAGTACAGATCTTAATTTAAATATGCTTAAATATGTTTTAGGTCTTGCTTGCTACCTTCAGTTCCCAGATTTGTTGCCAAGAGGAAGCATGTGTGGCAACCACAGCTATACTGCTCAGCTTTAATAGATTTTAATAATACTAACACATTTATTTGATTGTTTATTTGCTTAGCAACAATAAACTCACAGCTGTGGCTTTGCCTTTGTTTTTGTGTATTAAGTTGAAGTCTATATACATGGCATTTGAAATAGCATAATGTATAACTTAGTTCTTTGGGAAGGTAAATTGGATGTAACCTGCAAATTTTGGACAAATTTGGGCAAGATAAAACCATAACAAATGATAGGGGATGTGGTTATATAAATATTACATAAAATTGCCGGCTTAGAAAATACCGGTACATAAATAGCACCCATGCCTGGGTACACATATACATGCATGATTTTTATTTAAGAAATGGCATTATTTATTATTATTTATTTTGTTTATTAAACTTGTTTGCTGCCCATCTCAACTGCAAGGCGACTCTGGACGGCTTACAACATCAAAGTAAAACCATAAATATATATATACAAATATGTAAAATCATAACAAAAATACAAATTGTAACCAAAACTTAAAGATGGGGAGGAAAAGAACAGAATGTACAGGGGAGGGAGATGGGAGCTGCTATTAGTCGATCAACCGCATCCAGTGTGGTGCTCCCCCAAGCTAACTGGCACAGCCAGGTCTTCAGGCTCTTGTGGAAGGTCAGGAGGGTGAGAGGTAAACTCACCTCAGGGGGCAGGATGTTCCAAAGGACCAGGGCTGCAGCAGAGAAGGCTCTTCTCCCGGACCCTGCCAGCCAGAATTCCTTGACTGAGGGGATCCGCAGCATGCCTCATCGGCCAACAAAGTGGGACTAGCCTGTCCCAAACGGATGAGACGGTTTCTTGAGTAACATTAATAGACCTCCAAACGGGATAAGACAGTACAAGGTTTCAACTCATTGCCCTTTTTCTCACTCCCTACCACTCTAGTCCCACAGAAGGCAGCACAATAAAGACAAACCCTTCAAGTGCCACAATTGCCACCGAGCATACACAGATGCCACCTCGTTGGAGGTTCATCTAGCCACTCACACAGTGAAGCATGCCAAGATTTACAACTGCTCCATGTGCAATCGGGCCTATACCTCGGTAAGCACAACTCAATTGAAGGGGGGGGGGACAACGGGAGAACCATTTGGCCACTGCCCTCCAGAAGAGAGCCGGGGAAACAGATTTCTGCTGTGCCCCATGGGTGCGCCCTATCCTCTCAGTGAAATGGAAGAGTTGGTCTCTCCACTTATAAGCATGGTTCTGATTTTATTTTGTGCCTCTTTTCCACTTCAGGAAACATATTTGATGAAACACATGCGGAAACATAACATCCCCGACCCCCAGCAGCAGGTGGCTGTGGTCCAAGCCCAAGTCCAGGCTCAGTCACAAGCATCGCAACAGCAGCAGCACTTCCAAGCACAGGGCAGTGGAGCAGCAGGGGGTCCATCTGGAGAAAACCCGTCCCATCCTCCCCCACAGTGTTCTTTTGACCTTACCCCTTATAAAACTTCGGAGCACCACAAAGACATCTGTCTCACGGTTAGCACCAGCACCATCCAAGTGGAGCACCTTTCCAGTTCTTAGAGACCGTGTCTGAAGAAGGGAGTGGAAAACTTCTCCTGCATCATCTGTGCCCAAGGGCAGTTCTTTTGTGACGGCCTCTCCTCATGCAGCAGCTTGTGACAGCTTCCCTTAGGGGGAGGGAAATGGGGATTCTATCAATTTAGAGGGCCACTCCTTGGCTTTACCATTAGTGCCTCCAGAGGCACAACCTTCCCCTTGTAAACGGGACAGAACTCTCTTTGTGCAAGAAGAGGGCTCCTCCCTTGCAACAGGCCTCTCTTGTTCATGAAGGGAACCCCACTTTCTCTCTCACTTGATAAGGTATCCAGCAGAGATGAGAAATGAGGGGATACCAGTGGATGAAAGGAGCTTCAGTAATGACTGATTGCAGGTGAATGAGGGTGACTGGGAGTCTTCCAAAGATTCTCTTGGGGTGTAGACTGGAGAACGTTCACTCGTTATGTCGTTCCCTCACCCTCTCTTTCCTGTGAGCTGGAGGAAGGAAGAATGGTTGCTCCTGTTCTAGGCATCAAATGTTGTTCGGCTTACAAAACCTTGGAGGTAATGGGATGTTGCCAGTGACTGAGTCTGCATAATCCATTACGCTAGGGGGGAGGGGGGGAGTGCCTAATCTTTTCCCAGCCAACTTCAGGAAGAATTGGGGATGGGAAGGTGGGTACTGCAACGTATAAACTTACGTGGTTTAACCTCCACCATAATGTTAAGCCTGCTGCAGGCATCAAGTCTAAACCAAAAAAAAAAAAAATGCCTAGTGGTAAGAGTGCCAAAATGAACCTCCCCCTTTCCCCCAAGAGACTGAGGGTTGTTTTTCTGTCTTCACTCCCCTCTCTCCCCCTCTCTGCAATAAGTGCAGTCTGGAACCCAAGGCTCAAAGGAGGTCTTTGGGAGAAGCCCCAGGGGAAGGGAACTGTTGGTCTACTTCTCTCTACGTGCGGTCCAGAAGCCTCTTTCACTGTCCTTACTGCCAAGCCAGGCTGGATATAAGATGGCTGTAGTATGGTGATGCTTGGAGAGCAAGAATCAGAGGAATCCTCCAGGGGTAAACAGTGGAGAAGAAGAAATGGTGGAAACAATCATTCCTGCACTGCACAGAGAGACCAATTGAAAGGGAAAATTTTCCAAGCAACAGACTCAAGCCCTCTCCCCACTTGAATTTATATATAAATATAAATATATATATATATAAATCTATATACAAATAGTGGATAGATATATCTATTCACACTTCAACCCCATCCAGCCTGCCTCTGTCCTTGCTGTAACTGTTTCTATCCGTGTTTATAAAACCACATTTTCCTGGCACACTTTTATTTTCAGTCCTTGATTTTTATCCTTCATACTCGATTGCTGCCTTCATCTTCAAAGTATTTCCCCCTTGCTTTAATCTTGTAATTTCTTATTCCTTCATTTCAATATTCTGGTTATTCCTTGGGCCACAGAGGCACAAAAAGAGGTTCCCAAAAGCTAATTGGGATTTAAGTGGGGAAAAAATGTCTCTAATAGGCCTGCAAATGCTGTAGATTAAAGAGTGGAAGAACTTATTTTCAAATATTGGTGCATAAAAACAAATCAGTTCAGGTGCCTTTCCAGACAAACGAAGACTCTGCCCATTGTTGGCAGTAGATGGATACCCAAGGCAAGAATATGAGGTTTGCTTGTTCTTCCCTCAGTAATGATGGAGCTTGTCCAGGGCAGACTGCTTTCTGTGCAATTTGCACTGCTTACCTGTCTGCTAAAAGTAGCATTGTGTGAGGACAAATTCATGAGTGACTTGATGATCCCACACATTTGGGCTGGACCAGAACTGATAGATGTTTCTCCCTCCTGCCTTCCCCTTCTAGGGCACACAAAGTCCTATTGAAATCTAAACGGTGCATAAACATTTCAAGATTGTGCTTTTGGCTGCAGGGATTATGGTGAACTTGAGTGTGTGTGTGTGTGTGTGTGTGTGTGTGCGTGCGTGCTGTTTCTATGTTGGGCATGGGTATGAATTTTATGTGCATGTGTCCCTACACTTTAAGTGTACATGCACGTCTGGTAAAATCCTGCACTTCCTTTCCCTCAGGGTACTAATTTTCTGGACCACATAACACGTCCATGATCATTACAAGCATTGTAAGAGCTACAACAGTTATCTCCCTTGTTTTCTGAGCACAAGGCTGAGAGGATGATGAGAGTGAGCAGACCTTGATTCAGAGCTGTAACTAGTTATGTGCTAATTTTTCTAGCTTGACAGAAGATGCTCACATTCATGAGAGATATTGATGATTTTTCCCCCAGAAGCTTCCTTGTAATTAGACGAATGCCTTGAAGGGCCACATAGAGTGCTACAGGAAGAGTTCTTCTCCTGACAGGGCAGTGGAAGAACTAAGGCTGTGGGCAGGCAATAACTTTTTATATAACTGCAGCAAGAACACTGCTAATACTTAGCACCCCTCATGCATTTCATGTCAAGAACAGAATGAGAGTATTCTAGATCCTCAATTCTTGCCTGCTCTCAGGTTCCTGTTAGAACAGTGAGCATGCTGCTTTTTCCACTTGTCATTTATCCTTCACTGTGCAGATTGTGAGAGGCTGAGAATATTGTCCTCTACCGGCCATTGGAATTGGGATCTGTGACCACCATCCATTTTTAAGAAAAAGCCTGGGGGAAATTGCTGCAACAATGATGGAAATTAAAATAAGTATACACATTTGAAGAGGCTGAGCAGGTGGGGAATATAAAGGTAGCCTAGCCTATGTGTGTGAAGAGACTTTACCTTTTTGCCTATGTCTTACATGAAGTTTTTGGATCAGTGTTCTCACTTCTAAAGCTATTTACAGAGAGAGAGAGGACATTACAGAAAAATGAAGCTTGGGTGAGAGAAGTCTACAGTTTTCCTTATGGTGACAAATAAAGCACTTTTCCAGAGATGCAGTGTTAAGAGTAACCAATAGAGACACAACAAGAAATGACAAATGTTGAGGCATTTGGCAACATTTGTGTTTTCCTCGATATTTTTCTGTCTTCACTGAAGAGGACTGGTTACTGAATGTTAAGGAGACAAATTTGTGTGCTCTTACCTTTTCAGATTGCCACATTAGTTCAGTGTGGGTAATTTTCAACTGTTCTTAAGAATCTTTCATATTGCATTTCCCAGAGGAAGGGGGGGGGGTATTTTAAATTTCCAACCTTAATATTGCATTAGAACTTTTGTATTTAATTTCATTACTTTTTTTAAAGAATAAATTCCAAAAGCCCTCTTAATGTTAATGAAACTGTGTTTGTGTTTGTGGTTCAGTTCTCTACCAATTAAGGATGATAGTAAGATGGTTATTGGTGGATCCTCTATGTTCAAAACCTACTAGAAATTATTAAAATATATGCTGTTAACGGCCCACATTTTCCTGAAGATTGCATGGCCATGTCTTTGTACACATTATTTCCTTTTTGCTCTTTTCCCTTTGTGCTACTTTTAAAGGAGGAGTGACTTTTTTATCAGATTGATGCTATTCTTTATTGTGTATGTGGGTGCTCTGTTCTCTGATCTCATCTGGATCAAGTCTCTTAATTCCCTCCTCTTATTTTTTTTTAACCCGTTGAACTTGTCTTTTGCTCAGCCACTAGAGAAGCATGGATTTATGAGTGTTTTGCTATTTCCTGAGAAACTCTCAGGTTTGTATGAATTTTGTGATAATTAAGATTATGAGCCTGGATGGCCAGAGTTCAGAAATGCTCTGGGTAGCCAGAATTCAGCCCATATGTGATTGGCTTTTAGTATTTCTACATCAAAGATGGTTCAACAAATAGATTAAATCAACTAATGAAACAGTTGAAATTACTGTACTGATTCAGATGAAATTAACTAGCAAAAATAGCAATGGAAATAACCCATTCAATAACCCATTTTTTTTAAAGCTTGGGGAGTTATCTTTGTCTAGATTTTTTTAAGACCAAGGGTCCAGCGAATCTCAACCTGTGATAAGCATTACAAAAATATAGCGTGACGTTTCTGTTTACCTAGCCTTGGAAGATAAGCAAACCACAGAGGGGTTTTCTATGAGAATTGCAGTAGGCAAGCAAGTTTATGAGACAAGATTCTCCTGTATAACTTGAGTCATTTAGTCTAAAAAGTATATTGATCAAGAGCAATGTGTTTATGTTAACACTGATCCTCACCAACCTATTATTTCTTCGAACCAACTGACATTCACCTATCTCCAAAAGCAGATCCACTGACAATATTTTTCACATGTCCTATTGGAATCTTATAAAGTAACAGATAAGCTTTGTCTAGGGCAAGGTGTGGAATGCTGGGAGTTGAAGTCCATATATATTTAAGTTGCTATGGTTGACAAACACTGGTCTAAGGGGTGCTTCAGCTGGGAAAGCTGCTTCATTTTGCTTGAAGTTGCTTAGCCCAAATTGGTCAATAGCTTAGGCCAGTGGTGGCGAACCTATGGCACAGGTGCCACAGGTGGCACTCAGACCCCTCTCTGTGGGCACACGTGCCGTTGCCCCAGCTTTGCCTCCTGCCGTGACCCCCTCCTCTCCAGCAGCCCCCCTGAAGGAAAGTCGCCCCTGAGCGTGGCCCACACGGAGCAGCACAGCCAAGAACATGGCATCCAGGCAGCATAGACAAGACTGCCCTCACATCCCATCGTACACAGTTGATGCTGCAGGGCGCGGGCACAGGGCGTGACCGCCATAACGCTGCTGGGCTGCCTGGGCGATCTGCGGCGGGCCCTGGAGGCGGTGAGTGGCCCTGTGGGAAGGCGGGGAGGGGGATGGGAGGTGGGGCAGGGGGTGGAGCGGGGGCGGCGCCAGTTTTTGGGGACTCGGTCTCTAAAAGGTTCGCCATCACTGGCTTAGGCTATACATCTGAATCTTAGGATCAAGAATGAATTGAAAGCATAACACGGGTTTTAAACTGCCAGCCCACGGGCCGGATGCATCATGGTGAAACCATGCCTACCCCATTGCCAGCAATGGAAAAAAAGTCGCGATACGTCGCAACACGTCATGTGATGTTGCAAGTTTGACACCCCGGGCGTAGCAGGTTGATTTGAATTATTTGTAATAGATCTGATGAATATTTTTGACCTAGTTATAGTAAATGAGACTGCTTAAAGCATAAGAAGTGAATTTGCGTATGAGAAACAGATATTGTTGAATACAGAAAACAGATTTGCATACTAAGCATAAACTAAGTCTAAGTAATTTATAATTGGTACTAAACAATGAATCTTGACATTCTAATTATAAAAAACCCTTCAATGACTATTTCAAGGTTAGACCCTTCTGTGTTTTAACCACGATAATCAGGTTGGATGTTGTAATCAATAATAAAGCTGCCCAGAAGCCCAGCTAAATTAAGATGGGTCACACTCCTAATTGTTTTAGAACAATTAAAGCTGATTTGGGATTGAAGTCACGTCTGAAGTCAGATTGACTATTGATCCGCTTCAGTCTTACACAGGAATGTATCATATCCAGTAGTAAATATGCACTGAAGTGAATTTATCTCACTTCAAAGCCATCACAATCCCTAGTGTAAACGAAAGCTCTTTTTTTTGTTAGCGTTATAACTCTTTCAAGGAGACAGAACTACCTGTCCTCA